AAGGTAGGACCCATCTTACACCATATAATTCTCTCTCATTAGTTGGTACCTACCCGCAAGCGAACCACATGCATTGTGATTTTTGAGAGAGTGATCTCGGGCCAGACCCCACATCCGAGTCTTTGCACACGGTCTTCGGACCCAATGAGATCGAGGCCCAACCAACGTCTCGTAAAAGTGGATTGGATGGAGGTGACAATGATCCATAGCTGCAGTTTCATTAGTACACGGCAACCTACTATTCCTCTATACTCTACAAGTACAAGTTCGAGCATCAAGATCTATAGCATGGGCCATCTCCTCATGGATCTCATATTTTCTGTGTACGACTGATATAACATGATGCTCAAAGCTTGACTTCGCAATATGTTCATGAAGAACTTCTTGTACTATATGCACAAGAACATCCTCCCATTGTTCACCTTACTGCCGATATTCAGCCCATCTTTTCACTAACTTTATTCTTAAGTTTTCACACAAAAGGATGAGAGGCATCTCATGTTCCTCTAAAATCCAACTGTTAAATGACTCAGGTATGTTGGATGTAAGATGATCATACCTCTTGCCCTTGATATAAGCATTCGCCCAGTATTCTTTACCTTGAGTCACTATCCAAATGTGAGCGCTTCATCTATCTCTTTAATTTTCAACATCTCTTCCTCTAAACCTTCAGTAAATAATGTGCGTGCGGTGTTTCACCACTTCTTTAGGAGTACTTTGCTCTTCTATTTTCTCTTAAAATTGTCTATAAGATGGTGCACGCAATGACCTGGATACGATCATGGGAATACAGTCCTAATTGCAGTTTGCAAACCCTTCTAATGGTCACAAAGAATTGTTAGATATAGTAAGTTCTTACTTCCTGAAGAAACGCCCAATTCAATCTCTCTAAGAACCATATTCAACTTTCAGTATGCTCATTCTCTACCATTGCAATCGCAATAGGAAATGTGCCACCATTAGCATCTACGGCTAGTACAGCCAATACAATCCCCATATATGTTCCCTTTAATAACATCCCATTTAACCCTAACAGGGGCCTACAACCATGCAGAAATACATTATGGCATGAACGAAAGCTAAGAAATAGATGCACAAATCTCCTATCCTCGTCAGTTTGTATGACTGATTTAGTTCCAAGGTTAGTGACATCCAGTTTCTCAAGATATAGAGGTAGTTCGATATATGATTGCACTTTTGAGCCTAGGATCATTGCCCTTGCATCTTCTTTGTCACGCCAAGCTTGCATGCATGATAATTGGACCCTATAATCCGGCTGAGTGTCATTTGCAATATCTTTAGGTCTGAGCATCATCTGGTCGTTTAGTCGAGGTTTATTCCTTTTTACAACCCATTGGCTTCTTGTCAATGACTGATGTGCCCTGCCCATTGGTCCTCTGCATGTGTGCGCATTATAAATTCTCTCACCCTGAAGAATTTTGATTGTCCAACTTTAGAGCACCGCACAGGTCAATTGCAATCTAGTGTTCCTGTACACTATGCATACACTTTTTCTTGGCCATTTCTGCAATACTTTATCACAAAATTATGATATATTGTTATAGACACCCCATTTTAAAACTGACAAATTTTGTGGTTTTCCTGAACCATTAGGATCACACTATCCTAGCAAATCCCTATATCATAGACCACCGTAGTCCATACTGCCTACCTTGTGATCCAAAATCATGCAGTATGCCCTATTTTAGTAAAAAAATCATTAAAAAAATCAAAATAACTTGTTTTGACCCAAATTTTTGCCAGCAGTAACACAATAGCATGTAGATCAGACCTGAGCAAAAAATTTATGATTTTGGGTAGGTTTAGTGTGGACGACACACCTAGTGTCGCTCACCAGCCTAGACTAACCCAAATTCACTGATTTTTGGCAGGCAGCATCCTGACAGCTCCAAGATCAGTCCTAAACTGGAATCTGCCATTTTGAGTAGATCTAGTCTAGGCAACGCTCCTAGTGTCGCCCAACCCAGACTAACCCAAATCAGTCAATTTTTGGCAAGCAGCATCCTGACAGCTCCAAGTTTAGTCCTGAACTAAAATCTGTTGTTTTGAGTAGATCTGGTATGGGCAACGCTCCTAGTGTCTCCTAGCCCAGAATGACCCAAATCAGTCGATTTTAGGCAGACATCATCTTGACAGCCCCAAATCCTGCCCTGCATCAGAATCTGCAAGTTTTGAGCAGATTTGGCTTGGGCGACACTCCTAGTTCCGCCCAGCTCTGACTGCTCCAAAATGGTAGTTTCCGTATGCCAAACCTTCCTAAGCCTTTTTTGGCCAGGTTCAATGAACCTTGACCATTTTAGGCTGGGCGACCCCAAGTCTTGGACCACCAAAACGGCAATCCTGGCTAGAAGATCTGCTGGTTATGGCATGTTGCCCTTCCGAGATGGTTTTCAATCTATAAAAGGGTGATTTCATGGATTTGAAACCTTGATTAGACCCTGGTTGAGATTTTGAAACTCTAGGCTGAGAATTTAAAACCCTGATTAGACCCTGGTTGAGATTTTGAAACTCTTAGTGGAGAATTTGAAACCCTTTTAATGACTCTGCAAAGACTCTTGAGAGACCCCGGTTGAAACCCTAGACCTAGGAAAACCCTAGTTTTCAGCCATCCTTAGATCAATAAAGCCATTCAACCAAATCAAGGCTTGGTCAAAACCTAAAGAGAGATAAAAGATGACGAACAACATATATCCAACCTGTTCTGATACAGGCAAGGCCCCAAAACCTCTGGAGTCCCAAGCCATCTGGCCCGGTTTGGTACTTTTCTACTCTTTATGCTTGTCCTTTTTTGTTTTACTCATTTTAATTAGAAATAGTAAGTTTTATTGCTTTTTATATAGTATTTTGTATTTTGAATCAATGCTGGCTCTGCCACTGATCTGAGAGCAGATCTGCTCATTTCTGAGTAGATCTAGCCTCAGATCAGAATTCCATTGTCCCCACCATCTCTATATTTTTTTAAAAAAATCAGTTTGTGGTGTTCAGATCTGAGGGATCTTCCTCTGAAGCTCTATTCGATTTTGCATCATAAACAATAGCGTAATCAAATAAGTGATTATGTAAATCCACAACAGTCTCGAAATCATGTCCCACAATCAGGTCAACCCGTGGACGTGTTGATATGAATGGGGGCTCTAAAGGTATCGTGTCATCTACATCATATTCCATCACAAGTTGGCCCTCGGGTTCAGACCCCTGCACTGCAATTGTATTACTAGATGTAGGGACATTCCCTTTTACAGAAGGGCAGCTGTGAGAAAACATTTCTGGCATTTAGTAGGTATCCATCCATATGTAGTTCAAATATAATTCGAATTCATTAAAATATAAATATTGAAGGTCTTTAGTCACACATATCTATCTCTTATTGATGGAGCAGATGCACAAACAAAGGGTTGATGCTCCACTGGATTTGGTTGCGATGGCTGGTTTGCAACACATAGGACTATATTGGAGGCCACCATATGCATACATGATACATCCCCATCATCTATTAAATCAGCTAAGTTCTCATTTTCTTCATACATAAAACTCAATATGGACCCAACATGAACCTTTAATTGCTGTAGTGAGTCAACCCCCTTATATACTATGGCTTTTAAGTTACCACCTTTATAAATTGTTTGTCTATCATACTCGTTACACTCAAAATAACTACCATGGCGAACCAATAATCTAACTCCATTAGTGGCCATGAATGAATCCGGTGAGCAGAATTAATATCATAAGGTCCGCATAATTGGTATGGTTTTCTTACTTCATAAGCTCTAGCAAATTCAGAAAATATAAAAAATGAAAATAAAATAAATCTAGAATAATCGTAAAAAAAAAGTGTACATCATATGCTATAAATCTACATTTAGGGATTTTTCTACAAGATTGCATAGCCTTAATCTTGTAGATGGGTGAACAAAAAACCCTTCAGTATTGGGGTTTATTTTCCATGACCAACACTACACTCATGTAGGAGCATAAAATATTTTTTTATTAACAAAGTAAAATAATATGCAATGACTGAAGCTATCCTACTCTATTCAATCAATAAAAATCCATTAAACCCTAAGATTGAGTTCATTATTTGATAATATAATGTATTTGCAAAAGGGAACTCAACTCTACAATCAAGGGATTCCCGATCCTTCTTTATTTTTATCAATCAATAAACATTCATTATCAATTCAATTGAATATTCAACAACACCTAACAATGCATATTCTCAATCACAATCAAATAGAAAAATGAACATTCATAAGTGAACCAAAAATCCTAATCCGTCATTTATAAATTTTAGAGTTATTTTATCCCCAATACCCTAAACACCCAAATCTCATTTTCAAACCCAATCAAATAATAATATAAATATCCAAAAACTCTAAACAAATTTTTCACCCATTTTAGGGTTATTTTATTGCCAAAACCCTCTTATTTTTCCAAAACAAAAAAATTTCTAAAGCATACTTGATTCGATTGAGGCTTGAGAAGATTGTGCTTCGAATTGACTAGAGAATGAGAGAAAATAGTGCTGGATTGGGCTTTGGCTTTGGCTTCCATAAGAGCATAGCGAATTGGGTTTTTTTTTTTTGTTAAAAAAGAGCCAAAACCTTGATCGGTATATAGAACACCGAACATGATTTTTAATTTTGTAAAGCAAAAATAAGTTGTCTGATAATTCGAATACCAGATAACTACATTTCGTTTAAATACGTAAATAACCGAGGTGTTAGCTTTACCGGACTGGGATAAGTTGAAAAAAACAATCCCAGGTGCAGCCCGTAATCTTGAAACAACATTTTTCATTTTGTAATTGATACCCCTTATTCGATACGTAATTTTCTCAAAAAAAGAAATAAAATAAATAAATAAAGTGCGGTGGTCCACGTAACATTGGGCAAATGACGCGAACTAGTAATTCACCGACAGACTCCGTAAGTAATTTGCTCTGTTTTTTATTCTATAAACAATTCGCGTTACCATTTTTTGACTTCCACACTGGGGAAAAAACAAGGTGAGAAAATGACCACAAACTTGAAACGGCAGCTGTGACGGATGAGGGTTTGGTTTCGGCCCTATCCCTTGCGCAAAATCAGAGGTGCATACAAGCTCTGAATTAGAGAGAGATCGAGATGATCGAGAGAGATGGCAGAAGGTGCTATGCTTTTCTGCGTACAAAAGCTGGATCGGTTGCTGACAGAAGAATTACGGCTCATCTCGGGAGTGCGCAAGGACATTATTTGGCTGAGAGATGAGCTTAAAACCATGATCGCTTTCTTAGAGGATGCAGATAGAAGGAAAAGCAAGGACGCCCTCGTCCAAATTTGGGTGGAGCAAGTAAGAGAAGTGGTATATGATACTGAGGATGTCCTTGATGAATTCATGATTCTAGAGGCGAGAAAACGCAAGTTCTTTGCCAAGAGTCTCGTGATTCAACATAAAGTTGGAGTTAAGATACAAGAAATTAAGGAGCGGATTACTGGTATCAAGGAGAGGAGAGACAAGTATGATATTCAAAGGAAAGAAGAACCAGGGACATCTTCAGATACCGTAGTTTCGAGTGGAGGAGATCCTTTAGCTGCCTATCCTTTTATTGATGAGGTCGATGTAATTGGAAAACAGAAGGACATTGAGAATTTAGTTGAATTGCTAGTGAATGGAGGTCCAAAACTTAAGGTGATTTCTGTGACAGGAATGGGTGGCATCGGGAAAACTACCATTTCCAAGAAAGTCTTTAACAGCCATGCGGAAGAAAGTCTTTAACAGCCATGCGGCTAAGAGTCACTTTAATTGTCGTTCTTGGGTTACGGTATCGCAATTATTCACGATAGTGGGGTTGTTGAAAGGCATGGTGGAAGGATTTTATGATGATAGAAGAGAGGTAGCTCCAACCATGGACAAGTTGGATGAGGGATTGTTGCATATGTGCCTGCGCGCATACTTAGAAGACAAGAGGTTTCTCCTAGTTGTAGATGACATATGGAGCGAAGATGTTTGGAATCGATTGAAAGTTTCTTTGCCAGATCACGAAAATGGAAGTAGAATTGTCTTCACTACGCGATTGATCAATTTTGCTTCACTGGTAGAAGTAGATCACCATGTCTACGAGCTTCAACTCCTCAAAGCGGAAGATGCTTGGTCTTTGTTTTGTACCAAGGCAATTCGGGAAAATGACTCAAAAAAAGTTACAGGAGAATTGGAAAGAGTGGGAAAACTCATTGTAGATAATTGCGAAGGCTTACCCCTGGTTATCATGGTCGTAGGAGGCATGGTTTCTAAGAGGGCACTGGAAGTAGCTGAATGGATGGGAGTGCTAAGGAATCTCAATTGGGAGATGGCTAATAATACATCATTAGAAAGGGTAAGGCGAATTTTATCACTTAGTTATAATGATATGTATCCTCTCCTCAAGTATTGTTTCTTGTATTGCTGCCTGTTTCCAGGGAACTATGAGATTAGAAGAAATGTATTGATTAGATTGTGGGTAGCAGAAGGATTCATTGCAGCACGCCCTAATATGACAATGGAGGAGGTAGGGGAGGTGTACATGAAGGAATTGATTGATAGAAACCTCATTCAAGTGGCATATCTGAGTGGCAGTCAAAAAATTCGAGCATGCCGAGTCCACGATGTGATGCGCAATCTTGCTCTCTCTATTGCTGAAAAAGAAAATTTTGGAGCAATTTTAACAGGTGAAAGCAAAGAATTAAATGATAGGACCCGTCGTCTCTCAATGCACAAGTGCCATGCACACATCCAGGTCCTCACTCGCAAGTTGTACGTCAGGTCTCTTCTCACTGTCAGTATGGAGCAATTCCCTCATTCTACATCTTCTATTTTATCAAATTTATCAAATGCAAGATTGTTGAGAGTTCTTGATTTGGGAGGTGTTTCATGTCAAAAGTTACCAAGTGAAATAGGAAGTCTAATTCACCTGAGGTACTTAGGGTTGAGGAATAATATGATTCGAGAGCTTCCCAAGTCTTTGCAAAATCTTCGTAGACTAGAAACATTGGATGCAAGAGGGGGCGGCTTGGAATCTGTTTCCAATGAAATCTAAAGTCTTAAGCATTTAACCCATCTTATTGTAAGCCGGAGGAAAGTTTCTCAAGTGGAATTTTGGGTTCAATTGCTTGCAGAAGGTAAATTTTTCTTCTATGACAACTGTGTGCCCTGCAATGTTAATTTAGGGGGACTAGCACGTCTACAAACATTGAAACACATAAGGGTTGAGGGAACTTTCATTAAAAAGTTAAGAGCGTTGAACCAACTTGTGAAACTCAAGGTCCAAGTGGGCAGCATGGAGGATGGGAAGGAGTTATGGAGCACTCTTCAACTAATGGAACGCCTAAAATGCCTGTATATATCATCAGTTGATCCTGAAAATCCCATTTCTATAGACTCAGAATCTACCTCTCTTCCACTACCGCCTCTCAATAAACTATGCATAAATGTTGTTTTGGGGAGGTTGCCAAAGGCGTTGTGCTACCTTCAGAGCCTCACTGAGCTAGTGTTATCGGCTTCAGCACTAACTGAAGACCCACTTGCAGCCTTGCAGGGATTGTATAACCTTGAGTTTCTAGTTCTACATAAGGCATACAAGGGAGCAAGAATGGGGCGTGATGGGATTGTAGGATTCCCTAAACTCAAAACTCTCTGTCTTTTATATTTGGAAAATCTTGAATGGTTTGGGGGAATGCACAGGGGATGCATGCCAGTCCTCCAAGATCTTACTTTCATTGGCTGCTGGAAGTTGAAGTTGTGGGATGAAAGTTTGAGAAATCTTACTTCCCTTAAAAACTTTTCTATTGGAAACATGTCAAGTCCTCTTATAAAAAGTTTGCATCCTCATCATGGTGAAGACTACTACAAGATCCAGCATGTTCCCCGCGTAAGATTGTATTATCTGGTTCTCGACAGGTTGTTCTATGCAAATCTGAAGTGATTCTGTGGAATGGAGTTCTCTGAAAATTACATCCATAACTTGAGCTTGAAGGTAAGGTCCTTTGATTATGAAGCATCTTAGTCTTACTAATTCTTTTGGAAAAGTATGCAATAAGAACATTTACCTTTTGCATAAAAGATCAACCCTAGCTATCACATGTGAAATTGCCTGGCTAATATTATACTCCTGATTGAATTCAAAGTCCTAAGAAAAAATCTGCCCAACTTTATAAAAGTGACACATCTCTATCCACCTAATTTTTTTGGTGACCATCTTGTATCAGAGGAAATAGGTCTTACAGTATAGTGGTGAGGTGTACTAACCTGGGTCTAAGTTCCCTTACTTTCTACTGGTTTTCACAGTCTAGAACTTGGTTTTCTTTATCTTTTTTTTTTAATATTTTCAATAGAAAAACTGCAGAGTGGCAAGCCAGCTACCGGGGTGTGACCAGTTTGACCTATTGTTGGATCTTTTTTTATTGTCTTAATCATTGAAAAGGAAAAACACTGGGCCATCGTCAAAAAGATGAACAAGATTAAGAAGAATCGAGGATCCAATCTACAATTTATATGGTTATATCTTTCATGTTCAATTTGGGATAATTGGTTGCAGTGTTCAGAAAATTGAATTGGCCAAAGTGGTCGGACCTTGACCGAGGCGAGTCATTCGGCCCAATCCAAGTAACTCAGTCGAGTTCATGTCATGTTGAAAAAAAAGAATAACAAAAGGATATAAGATATATATATATATATATATATATATATATAAAAGATATGGGGCTTCTTCAAGACGTTGAGTCATCAAATCCGTCCCATTGCACGAGAGGGCATGTCTTAAAATGACACTACTCAGGAACCGTGTGAATATAGCGGAGCATACGTAATATGTACATAGTAATCGGCCTCGGCCTACATATCTTTATAATTTTTAATAAAATGACACTACTTAGGAATGTGTAATAGCCAAACCAACTCAACACCGTGTGAATATAGCAGGGCATACAGTGTGAATATAGCAGGGAATACATAATATGTACATAGTAATCGGCCTCGCCCATAGGCTGAGGCCAAGTAACTTGACCGAGTCTAAAAACGGTGATTGGTTGTAAAGCGCTGATCAAGGTTTATCTTTTGGCAACAATCATCCCCTGTGATCCTTCTTTTACATTATTGGAAAAACAAACTAATTTGTTTCAGTGCACTTTTCTCTATGTGGGATGTGCATCTAACTGTTAGTTTTCTCTTTCATTTGATGAATTCAGAGCACCGTCTGATTAGTTTACATGCAGAGAGAGAGAGAGAGAGTATACATAGAAGTAAACTGATTCCAGGAGAGGGAGCATTTAGAATAAGTAAAATGTGATTCCGTTTCCACTGCTACTAGAGAGTGAATGGTAAATTGCTTGCTTCTGTGGAATACCATAAAAATAAAAAAGGCTCGAGCCCTCTCTCTCTGTCTACCCTAATTATTTGCTTATATTGGACTTATTATCTTTTGGGTATACATTTTCAGTGTGTGCAGTTTTCTTTCTGATGATATGAGAAGATGGAGTTTGGAGTGATAGAGTAAGAGGTCGTGGAGTACGAGCATAACCTGAAGAGCATTTACTGCAACTCCTATGGGTTGGAAATTTAACATGCTAAAATTGATTCCTGAGGTTTGCATTTTCATGTTGTTCATCAGTTTTATGTAATTTATGCTCTTTTAAAGGCCTCTACACTTTCTACCTGGTTATTAATTTGTATACTTCGAACCTGGTTGATTTCCTATCAGTTCCTAGTTTGGTTGTTTGGTTGCAAGTTTGTTTGGCAAGTTTGCTTTGGACCATTGGGCATAGAGAAAGAGGTGGGGTACCTGTTCTCATAAGGGATAAAAGATACAGGCTTAGTTGAGAAATCTTTGCAAAAACTAAAAATGCTTTTTTATTAAGTTTCATTAAAATTAAGTGTGCCAATGGCCTGGGCCAGCCATGGCCCTTACTCGACCCGCGTTCCAATAGGGTCAACCCTGGCTCTGTTAGGGCCAGGTCGGGCTGGGCCAAAAACAAATGAAGAAAAAAAAAAAAGAAAAAAAAGAGGGCCGGGCCTAACCAAACCGTGCAGGCACTGACCCAAGCTCGGCATACGGGCCATAGTTTGTGGCCTGGGCCCTATTTTTTAGGGCCAGTCTAAGCGGGTCGGGCCGCCTTGCCCCTTACCCATTTGGTGGTTAAAAATAACAATTTAAAAGAGAGGTGTTACTATTTCAAATCCTTTCGTTAAGGTATCTCCACAAGAACTTTCTTAGAAAATGCTCAATATCCGGGCTTATATAATACAAGTACCCTTCAATGGTGCAGATTAACAGCTACAAACTAATTTTAATTTTACTTTTACTTTTGACCTTTTATAAATTATTTTTATTTGAAATTTGGTTATATAATAATAATAATTCATTTTGAATAAACAATTAACCAGATTACCTTTAAAACAATTTAGGGGTATTTTGATTAATTTTTATATAATTTATTATTTTTATTTGGTGTTCTATAGAAAAACTTTTCTACATCTCAAATTTCGTGTAAAGATAATTTTCAAATAAAAAATAAAAAACCGAAATTAGTTCATGGCCATGGATGAGGCCTTTTCAATCGGAACCCTTGTAATGGTGCTCGGTAACCCTTTCATTATCCACATGACGTGGAGGGGAGACTTGCCCTTTGGATAATTTGATTTACTTATCACATACGAATGATAAAGTACCTTTGGTTGTTCGGTGGCCAAACTTGGAACATATTTTCTCATTAAAAGATTTTTATTTTTATTTTTATTTTTATATTTTTTAGCATGTAACTCAAAATAAGATATACAGCTTTGGTCATCTAAAGTTTACTTTTGAATTATTTTTATCGAGATTATTCTATGGGTTGTAAAGACTACATACATCCCAAGGGCCAGTTTGGCCTAGCCTGGCCTTCTTTTTTTCTTGTTTTTTTTTCATTTGTTTTTGGCCGAGCCCAGGCCAAGGATATGGTTGGCCCGGCCTATTGCTACCTTTAGTCACTTGGGTGCACTTGGTATTAAGACTGGAATCGCCCAACATCCAATTCTTAGCTAACTCCGACGATTATGATTCAGACATGACAAAGTTTGGGTTTGGCCTTTCAGGTAGAAAACATGGTGTCGAAAAGTCCCAAAGCACAACAAGACCGGCGACTGTGTTGGACCGACCTGTTGGGCCGACTATGTCTTTGCCGTTTATGCAAAGGGCGAGGTTTGTATAAGGTGTCAACTTTATATTATTGAAGTAAGGTGCACCCCAAAACTATGCCGAAAATGCCGTTTTAATGCTGTAGAGCTTTGCAATGATATGAAAATCTATTGTTTTGTTGCCTCCAACTATAAATTTTAAAGTTCTAAAAATGGTGGTCATCAAGCAGATCTATAAATACTTGAATATCTAAAAAATGAACGGTCCAGATATTATGCCAGAAGTTGAACTATTTTCAAGACTAGAAATTCCCTTTTTTTCATGTCTATGAATATCAAGGTTGAGATGATCGATATGAGGGTTTTACATTATGGGAACAACCTTATCTAGTGGGGTTTTTAAGTGCACCTTACTCGTACGGTATAAAGTGACACCTTATATAAACTTTTTCCTTACACAAAATGTATGTTTTGTTGTGTGCGGAAGCTCTAACCCCAATAGGTTGATTTTTGGCAAATAAAGTATGCAAAATAATCGACAAAAAAAATAAGCAACAAAAATAAAGCAGGAAATAAACAACAAAAGAAAAACACCAATATTTACGTGGTTCGTCACAATTTTTACTACATCCACGTGTGAAGACAAACAATGTTTTTCACTAAATCAAAGAAAAAAAAGTACAAGGCAACTCACTTGAGAGAACCAGAGATTCAATCTCTCATAAAGCTTTCTTCTCTACAATTTTTTCTTTCTACAAAAACCCCTAAAAGTTTCTCTCTATTTTTCTTTATGTACTTTCTCTCTCTACAATATATCTCAATGACAGGACAAACCCAAAAGTGCACTTCGTATGGTCTACTTTTTCCACACATGTTTTCTCCCTTTAGAAAAACATCTTTATATAGAGAGAATAAAGCCCCAAAGACAAGTAGGATCAAATCAATTTCAACTTTTCGAACTTTATCAAAAAAGAATTTTATCTCTATCCATGTGTACTCAAAGCCTCATTATAATCTAAGTAAGACTTATCTACAAACTTAGATCCATCAATCCCTTAAAATTAGGGATTCAAGATAAATATCAACAAATCTCCACCTTTGTTTGAATTCTAAAAGATTTTCTCATCGACCATCTTCTCCAATGCATCTCGACAAGCGCTCACTTGGGCAACACATTAGGCAAGTCCAAACATAGCTTGAACTTCTGTAATGGAAGCGGCTTTGTCAACATATCTGGAACATTCTTTTTAGTGTCAATCTTCAGTAACAATATATCATGTTTGGTTATGATCTCACGAATAAAATGGTATCGAACATCAATATGGTTTGCATGATATACCTGGTTTTTCGCCAAATGTATTGCACTCTGACAAATAATAGTCTTATCCTGTCGTAAGCCCAAATCGCTTACAAGCCCTCTAAGCCAAATGACTTCTTTCACTGCCTCAGTAACAGCCGTGTATTCTGCTTCAGTCATAGACAATGCAATAATGGTTTGCATCAACCTCCAACTGATTGGAGCTCCTGCAAATGTAAACACATAACCTGTAGTAGATCTCCTACTGTCTAAATCACCTGTAAAGTCAGTATTAACATAACCAGCAACCTTGTCACAAACTTGTTATCTCTATCAAACATTGGACCCACATCTGATGTACCCCTTAGGTAACGCAGAATCCATTTTACCACATGTCAATACTCCTTTCTTGTATTAGCCATTACTTGTTAACAACACTAATGGTAAGAGAAGTATCTGAACGAGTACAAACCATTGCATACATAAGACTTCCAACTGCACTCGTATAGGGAACAATGACATGTATTCCGTTTCAACATCTGAACTTTGAGATAATGTTACCGACAATTTGAAATGTACAACAAGAGGAGTACCCACGGGCATTAAATTTTTCATCTCGAATCTAGCGAGAACCTTCTCGATATACTCCTTCTGAGATAGCCACAATTTACGCAACTTTCGACCTTACGAATCTTCATGCCCAAAATTTTCTTTGCTGAACCTAAATCTTTCATTTCAAATTCTCTAGCAAGCTGAGTTTTGAATTTACTGATTTCTAAAGAATTCTTTGCTGCAATAAGCATATCATCCACAAAAAGCAATAAATAGATAAACGAACCATCAGTAAATTTCTTAAAATAGACACAATTCTCATACTTATTTCTGACATACCCGTGTCCAATCAAGAATGTATTAAAACATTTATACCACTGCCTAGGAGCTGCTTTTGGCCATACAATGACTTCTTCAACTTGCAGACATGGTCTTCCTGTCCTTTAACAGCAAACCCTTCTGACTGAGTCATATAAATATGTTCTTTTATCTCCATGAAAGAATGCAATATTGACATCAAGCTGCTCTAACTCCAAATCAAACAATGTAGTCATAGCTATTAAAACGTTAACAGAAGTATGTTTCACAACTGAAGAGAAAATCTCATTATAATCAACACATTCTTTCTGTGCATAGCCTTTTGCAACCAAACGTGCCTTAAATTAATCACCACCAGTCTCAGATGACCCATCTTTCTTCTTATAAACTCATTTACAACCAATGGTTATCTTGCCTTTAAGCAACTTCACAAGATCCCAAGTACGATTCTTTTGAAGAGATTCCATTTCTTTATCAATAGCTTCAGTCCACCTGCTACTATCACTATCCTATGTAGCTTCCTTAAAAATGGATGTCTCTTGGCTTGTAGCAGTTAATGCATAAGCTACAATGTCCTCAAAACCATACCTCACAACTGGCTTTTTTATTCTCTTTCTCTTTCCAAATTGAGGCTATTCCTCAAGTGGAGTAGATTTAACGACCTCCTCATGCTCAACATCTTCCTCCACTCTCTCACATGGAATTTTTGGCACATAATTTGAAGTATTTTTTAGAGTTGTTAACTCCACCTCAACTGCATCACTATTGCTGCAATTTTCCTTTTCTACACCATTCTAAATGTGCTTTAACATGATAGATTCATCAAACTTAACATCACAATTGACAATAAACTTAGGCGATTTAGGATTTAAGCATCACATTCTATAGCCTTTAACCCCATATGCATAACTAAGAAAAATACACTTCTTTGATCTTGGACTCAACTTATCATCTTGCACATGAACATAAGCAGGACAACTAAAAATTCGTAAATGAGAATAAGCAGCAGGTTTATCGGACCATACCTCTTCTGGTGTTTTGTAATCTATTGTTGTAGATGGTGACCTATTGACGAGGTAACACACCGTATTGACCACCTCGACCGAAAAATCCTTTGTCAAACCAGCATTACTCAACATGTTGCAGGCTTTCTCTAGAAGTGTCATGTTCATGTGCTCAGCAACTCCATTCTGTTACAGTGTCTTCGTAGTAGTGATGTGACGAACAATTCCTTCGCTCTTGTAAAAATTCACAAACTCTGCTGAAATGTACTCTCCACTATTATCCATCCTCAAGCACTTGATCTTCGTTCCATTCTATATTTCGACTATTGCTTTCCACTGCTTGAATGTGTTAAATACATCTTCTTTTTTCTTCAATGTGCAAATCCA